GGCAGGAGGATCATTTGAGCTCAGGAGTTCGAGACCAGCCTGAGCAAGAGCGAGACCCCCGTCTCTACTAAAACTAGAAAGAAATTAGCTGGACAACTAAAAATATACAGAAAAAATTAGCCGGGCATGGTGGTGCATGCCTATAGTCCCAGCTACTCGGGAGGCTGAGGCAGAAGGATCCCTTGAGCCCAGGAGTCTGAGGTTGCTGTGAGTTAGTCTGATGCCATGGCACTCTAGCCCCAGGCAACAGAGTGAAACTCTGTCTCAAAAAAAAAAAAAACAAAAACAAAAAAAAACTTAAATGTAAGACCTGAACCAATAAAAAATCCAAAGAAAACCTAGGAAAAATTCTTCTGGACATTGGCCTAATTTTAGGCCCTAGGTAAAGAATTTATGACTAAGACCCCACAAGCAAATGCAACAAAAACAAAAATAGACAAATGGGACTTAATTAAACTAAAAAGCTTCTGCACAACAAAAGAAATAATCAGGAGTAAACAGACAACCTACAGAATGGGAGAAAATATTTGTAAACTATGTATCCAACAAAGGGCTAAAATCCAGAATCTATAAGGAACTCTAACAACTCAGCAACAAAAAAACAAACAACTTCATTAAAAAGTGGGCAAATGACATGAATGGGCATTTTTCAAAAGAAGATACACAAGTGCCCAAGAAACATGAAAAAATGCTCAAAATCACTAATCATCAGAGAAATGCAAATTAAAACCACAACAAGATACCATCGTACTCGAATTAGAATGGCCATTATTAAAAAGTCAAAAAAACAGCGACTTTGGTTTTGATGTTGGCATGGATGTGGGGAAAAGGGAACATTTATACACCATTGGTGGGAATGTAAACCAGTACAACCTCTGTGAAGATCAGTATGGAGATTTCTCAAAGAACTGAAAAGTAGATCTACCATTCAATCCTATAATCCCACTACTAGGTATCTACCCAGAGGAAAAGAAATCATTATATCAAAAAGATACCTGTACTCATATTTTTATCACAGCACAATTCACAATTGCAAAGATATGGAATCAACCTAGGTGTCCATCAACTGATTAGTGAATAAAGAAAATGTGGTGTGTAGATATATACCATGGATTTCTACTCAGCGATAAGAAAGAATTAAATAATGTCTTTTGCAACAACTTGGATGGAACTGGAGGCTATTATCCTAAATGAAGTAACTCAAGAACAGAAAAATAAATACTGCATGTTCTCACTTGTAAGTGGGAGCTAAACTATGGCTCGACAAGGACACACAAAGTGGTATAATGGACACTGGAGACTCAAAAGGGGGCAGGGTAAGAGGAGGTGAGGTATGAAAAATTACCTATGGGGTACATGTTCACTATTCAGGTGAGAGGTACACTAAAAGCCCAGATATTTCATCACTATATAGTATATACATGAGACAGAATTCTATTTTTACCCTCTAAATCTATGAAGATTACATTGACACAATTAAAAATAAAAGATTTAGTCTGATGGAGATAAAAATCAGAAAAGTAGTGCCTCTACAGCAGGGAATTGACCAGAGAACGGGCATGAGGGAACCTTCTATGGTTATGGAAGTATTTTGTATCTTTATGGGACATGGATTATACGTACGTATGCAGTTATTAAAACTCATTAAATCATGCACCTTAAGATTCATGCATTTCACTATATGTAAATTATGCTTCAATTAAAAGAAAAACAATTTAAGAATTAAGTTTAGAAAATATTTTAAGACATATAACTTACATGGCTTGTGATAGCTATTTAGTGACAACCTAGTATGTGTCTGGCACTGTGCTAAACAACTGGGCATATAAACACTGCTGGAAAAGATGGTCATGACTCTTAGTCCTCATGGAAATTCCAGTCTTGTTGGTAAGACAAACATTTAAAAGAGTTTGAATATGTAATTACAAACTGGGATAAGGAAAATAAAAATTAAACTATAAAA